GTCATTCTCCCTATGCCCCAGCAACTTTCTGATTGCAAATCTGAAGTGATGTTTTAGACTCCCAGATTGTTTGTGGCAATCCTTAAGGCTAGTCTTGTGGGAAGGACATGGTTTAAAATCAAAATGAAGCTGCCTGTTTCCCAGCCTTGTCTTTTCAGCATGTTAGAAGCTTCTCCCAAGCATTTCTCAGCCTGTTTTACCCAGGATAGGGCACCTAGCTGCGTAATGATGTCAGGAGCAGCTCTTGGCCTTGTAGGTGCAGGTGTGGATTTGTGCTCAGCCAACACACCTGCCTCCCAGATGCTGTTTGCCCATCCCGCCTCCTTCCTGATTCATCTAAGTTGCTGCTGCCAGAGCTGTCCTCTGTCTTCTTCCTGGTTTGACCTCCACAGTGGATTCTGATTTTGATTTCTCTCTCTCTCTCTCTTTTTAAAGATTTCATTTTTTTATTTGGAAGGTAGAAAGGGAGAGACAGAGAGAGAGACCTTCCATCGCTGGTTCACTCCCCAAATGGCCACAATGGCCGGCGTTGCGCCAATCCAAAACCAGGAGCCAGGAGCTTCTTCAGGGTCTCCCACGCAGGTGCAGGGACCTAAGGGATTGGGCCATCTTCTACTGCTTTCCCAGGCCATAGCAGAGAGCTGGGTCAGAAGAGTAGTAGGTGGGACTCTAACCAGCACCCACATTTGGGATGCCGGCGCCATAGGCGGAGGATTAACCTAGTGCACCACAGCGCCAGCCCTTATGATTTCTCTTTGATTCTGTTTTACCTTCTCAGCTCTCTCTCTAAATCCCAGCCCTCAGAACTCCCATCCTGGCCATAGTGCTAGTGTAAAAATTTCCCAGAAGGAGAACTTGAACTTCTACAACCTTACCTTGGCCTATGGACTTTAGGTTTCCTGCATTATAAGCTGCCAGTTGGGAGTGACTGAAAGATGCTTTCCCTTTACTTCGCACTTGAAGCAAATCCATCCCCCTGTCCACGACAGATCAAAAGATGTCCCTGTCTAGCTTTCCTGGTGATGAGCCTTGCCCAGTCCAAAGAAGAAGGGGAGAAACAAAGTTCTAGGAGGCAGTGAGTAAGTAGGTAAGGATGCTATAGTTAAGGTGATGAACTTGTTCCAGTTTATTCAGAATGTCCCCAGTTTTAGCATTAAGTGTCACATGTTAGGGAACTGACCAGTCCTGAGCAAGTCAGCACACCTACCTCAAAAAAGAAAATTAAAAAAAAATATTTTTTTATTTGAATGGCAAAGTTACAGAGAGAGAGCTTCTTCCAGGTCTGGGGGCAGGGCCCAAGCGCTTGGGGCATCCTCCGCTGCTTTCCCAGGCACATTAGCAGGGAGCTGGATCAGAAGTGGAGCAGCTGGGGCTTGAACTGGCATCCATATAGGATGCCAGCATTGCAGAAGGTGGTTTTACCCTCTGTTCCACAATACTATCCCCCAAAAGAGATTTTTAAAAATTTAATTTGAGGCATTCAAGGAATCTTCATGGGCTGGTGTGGTAGTGCAGCAAATTAAACCCCTGCCTGTGATACCAGCATCCCCTAGGAGTGTCTGTTCAAGTCCTGGCTGCTCTGCTTCCCATCCAGCTCCTTACTAATGCACCTGGGAAAGCAGTGGAGAATGGCCCACCTGCTTGGGTCCCTGCACTCATGTGGGAGACCAGCTCCTGGCTTCAGCCTGGCCCAGCCCTGGCTGTTGCAGCCATCTGGGGAACAAACCAGCAAATGGAAGATCTCTCACTCTCTTTCTGTCTCCATGTCACGCTCTCTTTCAGATAAACGAATCAATTAAAAAAAAATAGAAAGAAAAAGAATCTTCAAAATTTCAAAATCCAGATTCCCCAGACATTGAACAATGTGTTGAAAGCATATGGCTAGAGAGCCTGGGAGGTTGTGGGAAGGGGCACAGTCGGAGAACCAAAGTTTAAGCTAAGAACTAAAGGATGACTCCAAGTTGTGAGGAATGAGGGGTGGAAAGCAACATACAATGTGCTCCCAAACTTTACCATCTGACGTGTGTTCAACATTCGAGGATGAAAACAGAGACCCGGGACAGGTTCCTAGAGACCTGTATTTCAACATGGCACCAATAATGGTGCTTTTGGTTAAGTTTATCACCACCAACACAACATAATAAAATATGTGCACAACTCTTATTGAGATAATTGACATTTCATATTTTATCTGACTGTTTTTAAAGATGTATCTATTTATTTGAAAGGCAGAGTTACAGACATACACACACACACAAAGAGAGAGAGAGGGAGAAATTGAGACAGAAAGAGAGATTTTGCATCTGCAGTTTCACTCCCCAAATGGTCTTGAGGGGTGGGGCTGGGCCAGGCCATAGTCAGGAGCCTAGAGCTTCATCTGGGTCTCCCTCGTTGGTGGCAGAGTCCCACACACTTAGGCCACCTTCTGCTGCTTTCCCAGATGCATTAGCTGGGAGCTGGATGGGAAGTGGAACAGCCAGGACACAAACTGGCACCCATATGGGCAAGCAGTGGCTTAACCCACTGGGCCACAATGCCGGCCCCCATGGCCAATTTCTTTACAAAAGCTCACCAAAAATTTTAATTACATTCATGGTTTACTCTCAAATAACCCATTTTGGAATTCTACCAGGGAACAAGTCTCTATGGTGAAGAATCCACTTTTCTCCCATTTAAAAAAATCAGGCTGGTGTTTTCCTATACTGGGTTCCATCACTGTTGTCTCATCTTTTTCAGGGCAGGCATTCAGCTGTCAGTCAGACCTGCACTTCCCTTTAGTTTTGCAGGCTACAGTCGATCAGGCCCGGGTCCCTCGGGTTCGTTAGGACTTGTGAGGAGTCCCTTCTCGGATTTGTTCCAGCCTGGGGATCCGGATATTGCATGATTGCTTCCAATCTGGGGATTTACATGTTGCGTGTTTGTGGTGAGTTAGCCTTTCTTATTTGGAGATAATTTCCCTAATGGGGGAGAAAGAAATAAAATAGAAGTTGAACAGGGTTTCCCTGTCATCTGTTGATATAGTAGCATTCCTCTCCAAGTAGTCTGATGAAATGTAATTAAAAAACACTTTGAAATCATTCAAACGACTTTTATATTTTTGGCTATGTGTTTTCATTTTTCAGCTCTTTTTAAGTACAGGCTTAGATTTGTCCCAGAAATTGGACAAAGAAAAATGAAAATATGTTAATGGAAGAAATTACTCATGAATTTTAAGGAAATTAATTCTTTTGGACTGATATTTATTGTGTGTATATCTCAAGCCAGAATACATGACTCAAAAATGAAATTAAAAATGAAGAATTCAGTTAATCAACAGAATGATTTCCCCACTCCATGCTGCATATTGACAGGTTGAATGATTCTGGGTGGAGCACAGACCATCCACCTCACCAGTTGGCTATGAATTTACCACCTCAAGTAGCCAACTCTCCTCACCGCTGCTCAGAGACCCCCAAGACAATGGATCAAGCTGCTGACAACGGGGTTACTTGAGAAGTCATTCTCCTGGTTTCCTGCCTTGGTTCAGTTCTTTTTCGACCAATGGCATTGCGTGTTTCTCAATTAACATAATTCGACTAAAGACTATTGAGCATTGAACATAAATGAGAACCTGTGTTTGGTGTCCTGAGCAAACTGCATTATGTAGAACAGACACCCTACCTTGAGAAATCCTCTCACTCTTATAGAAAAACCAGGACATGTACACAGATTACAATATGGTAGAGTGTAGATGGTTCCATCAGACCAGGGGCAAGTGAAACCAGCCCTGGAAATCAGAAAATCTTTCGGGGTGAGTACGACTTGAGAGACCTTGCTTTATGGTTTGATATAATGATGACAGTGGTAGAAGGAAGCGAGGCCAAAGCATGGCCAAGGCATAGGTAGGAAGCTGCAGGTTGTGTCTGAGTGTGGTGAGAAGCCTAGTGTAAAGGAAACTCCCATGAACAGGGTTTGCAGAACGTGGGGCCATGGAACCCACCGCCATGGCTGATCCCCTTCTGCAAGCATAGCCACGGGCGGGAGCTCGTTAGAAATGCAGTTTTGTTGGCCGGTGCCGCGGCTCACTAGGCTAATCCTCCGCCTTGCGGCGCCGGCACACCGGGTTCTAGTCCCGATCGGGGCGCCGGATTCTGTCCCGGTTGCCCCTCTTCCAGGCCAGCTCTCTGCTGTGGCCAGGGAGTGCAGTGGAGGATGGCCCAAGTGCTTGGGCCCTGCACCCCATGGGAGACCAGGAGAAGCATCTGGCTCCTGCCATCAGATCAGTGTGGTGCGCCGGCCGCAGTGGCCATTGGAGGGTGAACCAACGGCAAAGGAAGACCTTTCTCTCTGTCTCTCTCTCTCACTGTCCACTCTGCCTGTCAAAAAAAAAATTAAAAAAAAAAGAAATGCAGTTTTGTGTCCCACACCCAGTGACTCTCAACCTGCATCTTAACAAGGTCCCAGGTGATGCACATGTACATTACAGCTTACAAAGCACTTCCTTAGTTGTCATCTCCGTTGTCTTTAATTTATTATCCCTTGGGTCATAGCACGCCGTCTATTTTTGCTCTCCTGGTAGTCACTTCTGAATCTTTAAAGAATATACTTAAAAGCTAGATCCTGTGAAGCTTCAGCTTCAATAATGCAACACTGAATCTACACTCCTTTTGCCAGAGGGGGAATTTAGCACCAACCTTTTTTTTTTTTTTTTTCTGACAGGCAGAGTGGACAGTGAGAGAGAGAGACAGAGAGAAAGGTCTTCCTTTGCCGTTGGTTCACCCTCCAATGGCCACTGCGGCCGGCGCACCACACTGATCTGATGGCAGGAGCCAGATGCTTCTCCTGGTCTCCCATGGGGTGCAGGGCCCAAGCACTTGGGCCATCCTCCACTGCACTTCCTGGCCACAGCAGAGAGCTGACCTGGAAGAGGGGCAACCGGGACAGAATCCGGTGGAGGATTAGCCTATTGAGCCGTGGCATGGCGCCGGCCCAACCCTTTCTTTTGATCCAAGTTCCTCCCTCTTACCCTACCTCCCAAAGTATTAGAATTGTGTACCTTGTTCTATTGTTATCATGACTCTTACACTCTCTATTATTATTATTTGTGTTGTTTTTGTAATCACTTTTAGCACAAGTATTCAGCTATGATTCTATACGCATATAAATTCAGTCCTGCTGTGGTCTGGAGGTTTGTGTTCCCCTCCCCAAATTCCCATGTTGAAACCTGACCCCCTAGGATGGTGGTCTGCGGAGGTGGGATCTTTGGGAGGTGGTTAAAGCTTGAAGGCAGAGCCCTCAGGACTGTATTAGTGCCCTCCTAAGTGGCTAGCGAGACCAGAGTTATCCATTTCCTCCACAGGAGGTCACCGCCAGAAGGCACCATCTCTGAGCAGGAAGTGGCTCACATTCATCCTTTTATTTTATTTTATTTTATTTTATTTTATTTTATTTTTATTTATTTATTTTATTGACAGGCAGAGTAGACAGTGAGAGAGAGAGACAGAGAGAAAGGTCTTCCTTTTGCCGTTGGTTCACCCTCCAATGCGGCCGGCGCGCTGTGGCCGGCGCACCGCACTGATCCGATGGCAGGATCCAGGTACTTATCCTGGTCTCCCATGGGGTGCAGGGCCCAAGCACTTGGGCCATCCTCCACTGCACTCCCTGGCCACAGCAGAGAGCTGGCCTGGAAGAGGGGCAACCGGGACAGAATCCGGCACCCCAATCGGGACTAGAACCCGGTGTGCCGGCGCCGCAAGGTGGAGGATTAGCCTAGTGAGCCGCGCCGCTGGTCCACATTCATCTTTGAACCCACCGTCACTTTGATCTTGAACCAAGTTCCAAAATGATGAATATCTTTCTGTTATTTATAAGCCAGAGTACCCTGTGGTTGCTTTAATACAGAAGTCTGAATGGGCTAAGACAAGTCTCATTGGCAAGAGCTTTTACATCCTCACTGCCTTATTTGTCAGCTTTGCATCCTGTTCAGATCAGTCTAGAAAAATCACTTCCACCAAAAGGAAGGGTCTGGATGTTTATCCGGACCACTTTCTCCTTGCTGGGTTCTGTCAGTCCACACCACCAGCTGTTCAGTGTCCTGAGGGAGGTAGAGAAGGGAGCTGAGCCCATCATGAGCTCATCAGAAGGACTCACTTGTATGTTTTACTGTCGTTGTGTTCTTCAACCTTGCAGCACAAGAACAAGCTTTCTCCAGAAGCTTTTCCACACCGTGTAGCTTTGCCTCCCTCCTGCTGTTTGGCCCTTCTGATTCTGGAAGCACAATCTCAATTTGAAATGAATCCAGAAGCTTTAGCTAAAAGCTCTGCTTCCTACAACCATGCATACTCATTCGAGGTGGAGAAACGGCTGTCAGTAGAGGAATGCCCCAAGATCTGCTGTCTTCAGACCTCGCTCAACACAGCAGAGGAGGCTGGTCTGTTTCCAAGCATCTCGCTCATCACCCACATCCACCAGGGAAAGGCTGTGTCCTGTTAGAGAAAAGGCAAGCCAGGAGCCTTCTTTCCAACACCCCAGCACGACTGGAGAAGTTGTGAACACTCATCTCCTGTAGCTTTTCCAAGACCTCTAGCAGGGGTACCAGTTGGATTCGTCACAATTCCCTTATCTGTATCTCACAAGGCTGCACAGCCTCCTTGGGTAGAGGAGTTCCCTGCTGATTTCTAGTGTCTTTCCTGGGTTTAGCGCTGGCTGCATTCTATGCAGCAGTTCCCATGCACAGGAAGTCCCATTCCTTGTTTCTCTGCCCTGAGATTCCCCTTCATTAATACTTCTCCCTAGCCTTTAATCAGTTCCTGGGACACAGCACCCAATGCTTGTTGCCTGTGCATTCACTCATTTCATAAACATTTATGGAGGGTTCAATAGTGCCCAATCACAGTGAACTGGATGGTGTCATCTTTTTTTTTTTTATTTATTTGAAAGAGTTACAGACAGAGGGAGACACAAAGAGAGAGATCTTCCATCCGGTGGTTCACTCCCCAATTGGCTGTAATTTCCAGAGCTGTGCCTATCCGAAGCCAGGAGCCAGGAGCTTCTTCTGGGTCTCCCACATGGGTGCAGGGGCCCAAGGACTTGGGCCATCTTTTACCAGGCCATAGCAGAGAGCTGGATCAGAAGTAGAGTGGCCAGGTCTCAAACCGGCACCCATATGGGATACTGATGCTTCAGGCCAGGGCTTTAACCCACTGTGCCACAGTGCCGGCCCCCCTGGATGGTATCATCTTAAACTATAATCCTTCAGCTCCAAATCCACCCTCTGTGATTCCAATCTAGGACTCTATAAACCAGTCTGGTCAGCAGGCTCCACACTATGTTCTGTCAACAGAAGATGCAAGAGGGAGCCTGGACGTAAGAGATGAGACCTGGGCCTTCCGGTTTGCTGCTGTCCATCAACACTGCCAGAATATTGGTCTTCACTGGGTAATAGTGGGTGGTACCTGTTTTTCCTTCAACAGTCCCAAAGCAGCCTAATCCCATTCTCCACCCCTGCCCCCCATAACAGCTCTAGCTAATCGGCACCCCCATGGTTCTGGGTCACTTCCTCTGTGATTCACAGGGCCTGTCTACTAAGCAGCTAAGGCACCAGCACCAGGCAGGCAACACATTCTCCTAGGAAATCTGAGTCCCAGCTGGGCAGGCTTTGAAGTTCTAGTAGCCCCAACTATGTTCCTTTATTCCCAACCATAGGAATGGTAGCTGCTTGCTGTGGTTCCTGTACTGTTCCATCCTTGCCTTTCCAGTCCTCCAGTGCCTAGTTACCCAATTCATTGTATTAAGTTCTCTCTATTAAAATGACTGTGCTGTTTTTCTGACTAAATCGTGTTGAATCAAAGATGCAGGAAACCTTTGCAGAGTTTGCCTGCATTGGTCTCATAAAGAACACATACAAGTAAGGAAATAAACTCAGTCTAGGGTGACAAATGCTTTGGAAAAATAAACATAGGGTGCAATGAAGGTAGGTATAGAAGAGGGAAATCTAACCTATATTTTACGAGTGAAGTTCATTAGAAATGAAGAGAGGTAGAAAGGATGTCTTGTGTTCCTGTGGTTGTAAAGTTGGCCTTTGAGACTTTTTATGAGCCATTTTTCCATAACATCCTCACATCCTCCTACCCTTCACTTTAAAAATCGAGTTAGGCAGAGATGAGTGTCTGTTTGTTTGTCATTTGTTCTCTATTCTTCCTAGACACACAAAGAGACTATAACTTGTAGCCTCCCTTATCATCATGCGGGCTTGCTGGTGGTACAAGACCTAAAAACCGGATATGCCCAGTTCTTGTTGTTTTTTCCCTTCTATCAACTTGAGGCAGACAAGTGTGGGACCTGAGAAGTCACATGTTGAAGGTGAAAGCGTCACAGCATGGCAGAATCCTGGTGGTCGTTACCTCAAAAAGAATCACCTGCCAATAAGGAGTACCTCGTTTGAACCTCGTAAGTATGAAACAAACTTCTTTGTCTTAAGTCACAAAGACCCAGTGGTTTATCTAATACAGGACCTAACAGCACCTTCACTTATTAATCCTTTGAGCTAGTTTTTGTATGTCATCACAGTTAATGTTTCTGGATAAGTTTTTTTTCTCAAATGTTTATCGATTTATTTGAAAGGCAGAGAAAGAGAGAGAGAGAGAGAGAGAGAGAGAGAGAGAGAGAGAGAAATCTTCCATCCACTGGTTTATTCCCCAAGTGCCCACAACAGTAGAGGCCAGGTCAGGCTAAAGTTAGACGTGGTCTGTAAATTGGGGTCGGCGCTGTTGCGTAGTGGGTAAAGCCGCCGCCTACAGTGCCAGCATCCCATATGGGTGGCGGTTCCAGTCCTGGCTGCTCCACTTCTGATCCAGCTCTCTGCAGTGGCCTGGAAAAGCAGTAGAAGATGGCCCAAGCCCTTGGGCCCCTGCACCTGTGTAGGAGACTCGGAAGAAGCTCCTGGCTCCTGGCTTCGGATCGGCACAGCTCCAGCCATTCAGGCCAATTGGGGAGTGAACCAGCGGATGGAAAACCTCTCTCTCTCTCTCTCTCTCTCTCTCTCCCTCTCTCTCTCTCTCTCTGCCTCTCCTCTCTCTGTGTAACTCTTGAATTTCAAATAAATAAATAAATCTTTATTTAAAAAAAAAAAAAAGGAAGTCTGTAAATCCATCTGGGTCTCCCATGTGGGTGACAGGGACTCCAGGACTTGAGCCATTACATGCTGCCTCCTAGGGTGTACATTAGCAGAAAGCTGGATCTGAAACCTAGTAACCAGGAACCAGACCCGACACCTGGATATGGGATCTGGCCTTCCAAGCAGTGGCTTTAACTTGCTGAGACACAGCACCTGCCTACGGAGAAATTTTAAAGGGTATGAGGGAAGACAGATAGATGGAGAGAAACATGACATTAACAAAACAGTAGGAGGGTACTAGGGACACTGCAGGACAGTGGGTCTATATAATTTATTCATTTGTTATTCATTAAGTCTACACAGGTGTTATGAATATTATTCATTATGTTAGATGTTATGGTAAATACCAAAAATAAAGCATCAAGTTTCAGCATAGACTAAATTAAAAACTAGTAGAGAAGACATAAATCTCAACAATAATTGAAACAAATTATTAAATTTAAGAATTTGTCATTGCATATCTTTATCAAAGTACCATTTTAATGTGGCTGTCAATTAACTTCTGAACATTAAATGCTACTTTATCACCGAGCCAAGATGATTTCAGAAAACTGAAAACACCTATATTTCATTTCTGTCTAAGAATTCATTTTGCTGCCAGACTAGCTATTAATAATAAATCAAATGGAAAATCTAAATCTCTCTCTCTCTCTATCCCCTCCCCACACCTTCTCTCCCTCCCTTTCTCTCAGGGTCATGGGCATTAGCTCATATCACCACAGCACCATACATAATCGGCACCACTTGTCTTTTCTGATTGGAAACACACATGAGTAAAGGGAAAATACACTGATGTTGGACAACTAAGTTCTACTTTGCGTAAAGAGACGGAGGCACAGGCTCTGCACCTGATGTTCCGTCCCAACAAACGGTGTGCTGCTGGTATTCAGGGGGCGGCCACGTTCAGAACAGAGGCAGAGTCCCTGCACAGCAGAGGTAGCCAGGGATGACCCTGCGTGCAAACCGAGTCCTGAACAAGCCCTTGCAGGTGGTTTGGGGAAAGTTTCCGTGGATATTCCTGGAAGAAAAAAGCAGAAGAAGGTGTCGCTGGTCTTCACCTGGTCTGGAGTTCATCAGCCAACGACAGTTTCCCCTTGAGACACAGCATCTGCTCTTCTTGTTCCAGGCACCATCGTCGAAGGCAACGTACTCCTGGCTTCTACCTGAGAGAGCAGAGGCTCCTGGGAAGAGGGCAGGAGATCAATGTTCCACTGGGTCTTTTAAAAAAAAAAAAAAAAAGATTATTTTATCTATTTGAAAGTCAGAGTTACACAGAGAGAGAAGGAGAGAGAGAGAAAGAGAGAGAGAGAAAGAGAGAGAGAGAGAGAGGTCTTCCATCCACTGGTTCACTCCCCAGTTGGCCGAAACAGCTGGAGCTTCGCCAATCCGAAGCCAGGAGCCAGGAGCTTCTTCCAGGCCTCCCACATGGGTGCAGGGGCCCAAGGACTTGGGCCATCTTCTACTGCTTTCCCAGGCCATAGCAGAGGAGAACTGGATTGGAAGTGGAGCAGCTGGGTCTCGAACTGGCACCCATATGGGATGCCTGCATTCAGGACAGGGTGTTAACCCACTGCGCCACAGTGCTGGCCCCTGCATTGGGTCTTTACAGCTTTTTTTCTCATGGGATGATGCAAAGACTCATGTGGTTACTATGAGAGTGTTTATCTTCCAAAAGCTACGTGGCTGCACTGATGGATGCTACACCTTTCTGTGATGTCCTGAACCTTTATTTAAGTCCACAGAACTCCTGGAATGTTGAGGCTTAGACTACGTTTCTTGTGGAACCTACTAAGGGGCCTGTATACTGAGTCTTGTTCTTACAGGAGTGGCACAGAGAAGCCTGCTCATTCCCTCAGGCAGGGAGGGGCCCAGCTAGAATTTGAGTTGCATCTGGGGACAATCTCTGTACAATTCAAACTAAGGTGCACCTCCCACATCATCCCAGGTTAACCCCACCACCACCCCCAGAATTAGCCAGAATCCCATCCTGGCCATGGGTGTTAAACTTTTGAATAGACAGTAGAGGAACATAAAAGCAAGACTTGACATGGTACTGGGTACTCTACCCCTGATACACAAAGGAAAACACTTGGAGGCTGGCCTTGCTAGAATGGGAAATGTTGAGAGGCTGCTGTGAAATTTCGAAACGTGGACATGTGTACCCTGAAGGCATTAGAACAAACCTGTACACTGAGCGCCTGTGCGAACGCACATGACATGAGCCTGCGTGCTATCCAGTCTTTTCCAGAGTATTTATGTTCACCAGGAGAAACAGCACAAGCTACGCTGATGACCCAGTGTTTATTACAGTTGTGTTTCTGTCCATTAGTGTCCCAGCAGGAAACCAAACTCACTGCAGGTGGCTTAAGGGAAGGAGGGATCCAGGAAGGGACCATTTGCAGAGATGCAGGCTGGGTTCAGGGGACAAATGAGAGAAGAGGAGTTACCCAGAGACCAGCGAGAAGGAATGGCTGTTACCTCCCTTAGGGCTGCATCAATGTAGGGAAGAAAGAGTTTGATGAGGCCCCCCAAGGGAGTTGGAGCTGGGGAAGGGGTCACCCAGTGGGAGAAACAGTTGCGAGGAGAAGCCAAAGGTTAAGAGGAAAAGAGGAAGACACAGCCTGGCCTCTCTCTCTCTCTCTCTCTCTCTCTCTTTTTCCAGTCTCCTGCCCATAGTCCCATTGGCTGAACCCAACCAGAACCCATCTGCAAAGAGAGGCTAGCGTGATAGATAGAAGACAAAGGACAGAGTGGAGCAGTGCAGAGAATGGATCTGTTGGAGGTCTGAGGAGAGGGGCTGGTAGCTGAAGAACCATCATCACACAGAGCTGCCATCAGTGATGAAGTTCTGCTTTCTAAAAGAAAAAAATAAATCTCAGTAGTCTCCAGTGTGTGGGTCTGGGACAAATTATTCCAGCAGGCATATGCTAGGAAAGATTGGTGAGCCGGAAATCACAGCTCAGAAGGAGCTCCATGAACCTGGGGAAAACGGGCCAGTGGGGTGCTTACGGGGAATGTGCTGCTGGGGGCTGGTGGCCAGGCTTCTGAGCCCGTATGACCTGTTTGTAGCGGACATCCCCAGGTTGGTCTACTGCCCTGCTTGGCAGAATCATAAAGGATTCTCCTGGCATGCATCTCTCTCTGGCTCACTGCTCCTGTTACTACAGGAAAGCAGTGATGAGAGAAGAGATAACTCTCTGTAGGTTTGTAAAACCTGGCTTTCCGTTTCAGGCTGGAAGTCTCGCTCAGTTGCCCGTGTCTTCGACGGGGCCACATTGTCCATATTGTCAAAAGCTAAGGAGAAGGTGGAGGTCATTTTATCTGCAAAGAGCAGACCTGGTTTTCCTGGGAATGTTTGCAGCATTTTAGAGGTCACTAAGGTTATAATTCCCCATCCTTCATCTGTCTCCCCAAGGGAGAACAGTACATTATGCTTGGGAGGTTAGAATCCTTGAAAGATATTTCTTCCACTTTTGAGTTGTAAGATAAAAAGCCATTTCTGCCATTTTAATATCTCCCTTTCTGCCCACATGTCCATGATTATATCTCCTTTTTTAAAAAAAAGATTCATTTTATTTATTTGAAAGAGTTACAGAGAGAGGTAGACACAGAGAGAGATCTTGCATCCAATGGTTCACTCCCCCAAATGGCCGCAGCGACTGGAGCTGAGCCAATCTGAAGTCAGGAGCTGGGAGCTTCTTACAGGTCTTCCACACAGGTACAGGGGACCAAGTACTTGGACCATCCTCCACCACTTTCCGAGGGACATCAACAGGGAGCAGCTGAGACTCAAACTAGTGCTCATATGGAATGCCGGCACTGCAGGTCAAGGCTTTAACCCACTGCACCACAGCACCAGTCCCTGTATCTCCTTTAAATAATAACTCCGATCTTGATATCTAGGGTGTGCCCCTCTAGTTCCTCTTCCACACTGCAAATAGTGAGCCCATTCCAAAATGCAAGTTTCATTAAATCAAGTGCTGACCTAAAACCCTTCAGTGGTTCTCCATTGCTTTTAGGAAATTTCCAAAAGTATTGTAGAAGCTCTACCATATGGCCACTACCTACTTATTCTCATCATCTCCAACACACACACACACACACACACACGCACACACAATGTTGACACCATCTTTCTCTAGGTTTCATCTCCATTACACATCCCACATATATCTTTAAAATATATGGTATCTTGGATTTTCGGACGTGGGATACCATGATGTAGAGACTCATCTCTCCCCCTCCCTTCCAGGTTTCCTTTAAAACATCGTGGAAGAAAATTGCCTGAAATGTTTGCTATAAATGAAGTGTGTGATCTTCTCATTAGTTTCTTTCTTTCTCCTAATCATCTAAAAGGAGTCGCATAAGTCATGTTTAGGATTTAGTGGGGATGCATGATAATGAAGCCAGTCTCCTGATTTAGCAACCCTGCTGGGATTTCTCCATCTCTTACTCAGGGTGCAGAGGTAGTGCCTGAGACCAGCCACCAGAGTAGAAGCTGGGAAACCAGGTCTGCCCAGTTGATGACTTCCAGTGGGATGGGCGGTCAGATTAAACGACATGTTAAGGAAGAGCTCTCTTAAGCATCATCAAGACATTCAGTTTATACTGGGACTTTTTTTTTGGACAGGCAGAGTTAGTGAGAGAGAGAGAGGCAGAGAGAAAGGTCTTCCTTCCATTGGTTCACTCCTCAAATGGCCACAACGGACAGAGCTGCGCCGATCTGAAGCCAGGAGCCAGGTGCTTCTCCTGGTCTCTCATACTGGTGCAGGGCCCAAGCACTTGGGCCATCCTCCACTGCTTTTCTGGGCCACAGTAGAGAGCTGGACTGGAAGAGGAGCAACCAGGACAGCATCCGGCGCCCCAACCGGGACTAGAACCCGGTGTGTCGGCACCACAGGCAGAGGATTAACCAAGTGAGCCTCAGCGCTAGCCTATATTGGGATTTGACTTGATTTGATTGAATATCTAATCACAAAATAAAAGTCATCCATTAAATAAAGAGGGAGAAATCTTTTTTAAAGAAACATATAGGGTCCAGCACTGTGGCATAGTGGGTAAAGCTGCTGCCTGCAGTGCTAGCATCCCATATGGACGCTGGTTCGAGTCCCAGCTGCTCCACTTCCGATCCAGCTCTCTGCTGTGGCCTGGGAAAGCAGTATAAGATGGCCCAAGTGCTTAGGTCCCTGCACCCTCATGGGAGACTAGGAGGAGGCACCTGGCTCCTGGCTTCGGATCAGTGCAGCGCGCCAGCCGTGTAGGAGACCCAGAGGAAGCTCCTGGTTCCTGGCGTAAGATCGGTGCAGCTCCAGCCATTGAGTCCAATTGGGGAGTTAACCGGCAGATGGAAGACTCTCTCTCTCTGCCTCTAGTTCTCTCTCTGTGTAATTCTGACTTAAAAATAAATAAATCATATATATATATATATATATGCACACACACACACACACACACACACACAGCAAAACCCAAGGCTTCATAGAACAAATTATTTTGGGCCCTTAATTTCATTTACATTATTTTTTAGAAAGGTAAATATAAAACCTTCTGGAGCCAAGCATTATTCTTGCTGCTGGAAACAAAAGGAGATAACACCCATGTGGACATGGGACAGGATTAAAAGAAAATAGACAAGCAAAGAATTATACAAAGATCATTCAATTAATGATAAAAGCTGGAATGGAAAATAAAGCAGAAGTAAAACTCTGTGTATGACAGGGCAGGTGTCTGTGATAATGAGATGAGAAGACTTTGAAAAGGGAAGATTATACAAAAATCTGATTGGAGTAGAGGCGGGGCCGTGAGCCATTTAGGGAAAGATCATGCCAGTAAAGGGGCCGGCGCCACAGCTCAACAGGCTAATCCTCTGCCTAGTGGCACCGGCACACCGGGTTCTAGTCCCAGTTGGGGTGCCGGATTCTGTCCCGGTTGCCCCTCTTCCAGGCCAGCTCTCTGCTGTGGCCCGGGAGTGCAGTGGAGGATGGCCCAGGTGCTTGGGCCCTGCACCCCATGGGAGACCAGGATAAGTACCTGGCTCCTGCCATCAGATCAGCGCAGCGCTCCGGCCGCGGCAACCATTGGAGGGTGAACCAACGGTAAAGGAAGACCTTTCTCTCTGTCTGTCTCTCTCTCTCTCACTGTCCACTCTGCCTGTCAAAAAAAAAAAAAAGGAAAGTTCACAAACTCAGTGAACCACCAAGGGGCCAGTGTGGCCACA